TCCCAGATCCTCTTTTGTTGCCAGTTCAGAGAGTCCAGGTGGTTGAGTATCAGATTGTTCCAACTTGTTTCCCTTTGGGATTGCTGTAGGTGATCCAGAAGTCTGTTTTTGAGGCTTGTTTACATGTCTTCTCATGTCCATGGTGGGAGAGGATGTGCTTCTGGTGCCTGTGTGACTCACCTTCTCTGCCCTAGGAGCTTGGGATGGCCAGGATGACTCTTAATCACAGTCCTTGAAGACTTTTTTTACCTAAAGGCTTGGGCTTCCACATGCAATTCTCCAAATTCAAGCACATTAAGAGCAAGACAAACTTAGGAAACAAATATACAAAGAGAGCCTGCACAAGTCCCAAATCTTTTGAGTTGAGGCAACAATGTCTTGTAGAATCATTTAATCCCAATCCCTTTCTAGTTCCTGAGTTTTACTGCAAAGTCCAGAAATAAATCAGAATTTAAATAACCATTAGTGGAAGAAGCACTGGGAATCTCCTAACATAGGTATCTAACATCGTGTGTCAAGAGAGGCCCCATCTCTGCAGCCTACAGATTCTTGGCAGTCTATCATCACAGTTGTAGACATAGAGATGGTGGAATGAAAGCCTGGGTTCCTTTTTTTTTTTGGTACCGGGGATCAAACTCGGGTCCTTGTGCTTGTGCAGCAGGCGGTGAAATCTCTGAGCTAAATCCCCGGCCCAAGTGCAAGCATTTTAAAGTGTTGAGTTTTACTTGTATTGTTCATATCATTTACTACCAATTAGTGTAGAGAAAGATCTGGTCCATTCTTACAGTTCAGTTGTTTAATGCATGTCTTCATTGATTTTCACAGATATATTAGCAAATCCATTTAGACCATGCCATTTGAACATGTTTTCTGTTTGTGTCCTGTTTTAGATTTTTAGTTCCTTTAATCTTACAGTAATTCTGGCTTCACTGGAACTTTGGACAGATGAGAACAAAGTTCCAACCACTGGAGATGTTAATGAGTTATTACACCAATTTCAAGACTGGAAAAAATCTTACCTTGTTTTACGTCCGCATGATGTGGCATTTTTACTTATGTAAGCATATTTTGGAATTACTAAGGTTTCCACAAAGAAAACACCAGTTTGATCTGATTTCTGACAATCGATGTGCCTTTAGGTTAAAGCTATTTGCCATTTTTCCTGCTATGCACCACCATGTGAATACTGTTTGCCACAGCACCGTTCATATCTATGGCACAGTTATTGACTTCCCTCACTTTATCTGGTGGTCTGTTGTGAAAACTCGTTTTTTCAGTTTTCGACCACATGCCACATGATTCACCACTTCAGTAAATGTCTCTTGATGTGCATTGAATATCAACAGTAAGCTATTACCTGAACTCCATGAATATAGCCTCCTTCTTTCCTTTGCTGGCCAAAAAGTAGAAAAAAATTACAAAGAAATAGAAACACTATTGTACATTTCAATATAATACAACCATAATGAAGCCACACAGTGGTGAGGCTTTTAGTGGATAAGCTGGCCTTCAATTTAGTAAGCTCTTTGTTTTTCTCTTATCAGTATTTTGAAATATATTATTACATACAACTTACATGTCAAGATTTTAAAGTTTTAGTACTTTTAGTCTTCTGTCTCATCCATGCAGATGCTACACGTCTCCATGGCCCTGGTGGGCTGATTCTAACCAAGCAAGGGGCCTTTGGTTTCTAGAGTACTCTGCCAATTTGTCAGCTGCATTGCCTTAACCTTTTTAGTTTAGGGAATTTTGTTTATCATATTTATTTTGAGGGATTTATTCGTTGTAATTTAAAAAGACAGCATAATATGAATCGTCAATATGGTATAAGAAGCCATATGAATAGGCACTTTGTGTTTGTTTTCTAAATCTGTTTTATTGTTTTCAAACTATGCAGAAACATACAATAGTCACATCCTAAGCTGTGTTTACACTGATGCTAGGTGGACATATTTATGAGTTTTATATCAATGCACAACATTAAAATTTTTCCTATGAAAACTGATATTGGTTGGGCTTACTTTTGCAAAAGTATGATTTTGACCCACTGTAAACTTTCAGTTACAGAGAAGCACCCAGTTACATCGGTGCCGTCTTTCAAGGAATGGTGTGTGACAAGGACTACGGAGGAGGCATTGCCCTGGTACAGTACGGCTCCTTCTGCTTGGCTAAGCTGTGTAGAGGATAGAACGCTGCATAGAAGGCCATAAAATTAAAGATTTCCCTTTTTATTGTTTCTGTGTAGAGTAAATCTGCTTTGTTCTGAGGATTCTTGTCCCTAATGCTGACAAAATGTTTAATATATGAGGAGTCCTCATTGATCATAGTACATATAAAAATTTCACATGAATCCAAGTATCCTTTTTAAGGTGGTGAGCTATTTTAGTATTCTTATGCAATGCTGTCAATTTTCATAGTCTTAGTATTGAATCATGCATGTATTTTAATACAAAGCCTAGATTCTGTGCATTTGCTTAATGGTCTAGCTAAATTACAGAACAGATGGAAACATTTGAAACTATCAATCACCTTAAAAATGCTTCACAGGGCATAGTGAATAACAAGAGCACCAAAGGCCACACTTGACATTATTTACCTTAGTGGAAAATCTTAGTGTACTTGACACTGCTATTTTTCTCCCCACTATTTCATGATTTTATGGCTATTCTGGCAAAGAGAAAACTTGCCTTTTTGTTGCTTTTTGTGTGTTTGTGATATGTCTGCTGCTTTCAGACAGGCGATGTGTGATACTCTTTTTCTAGCAAACAAGAAGTGAGCCCAGGTGAAGATGTGAAGGATGAATCAATCAAATGGAGACTAAAATCTTTAAAATTCATAAATCCTGCTTTGACAAAGCTGGCTTTTATTTAGGGTCAAGTGCTTTACCTGGTCTCCAATGCTGGACCAGGCTCCCGGGCTGCTAAATCATCAGAGCATCTCCTGGGTTCCTGGGCCGAGGCCTTTCCTGACTGATTGGGCACAAGTGGAGCCATCCAGTCCAGAGGAAGGCTGGCTGCCACTGAGGGCCGCCCTGCAGGGACCTGGGAAGTGTGGCTCCTAGGCAGAGGACAGAGGACTCTCTACTGAGGGGAACAACTGGAGAAAAGCTTTTCAGTATTCTTTCCTATTCCCTACATTTTTCTGGGATAATCACTGCATGATCTTCACTGGAAAAATCCACAGCATCAGCCTGTGTCCACGAGAGCGAGATGCTGAAGACAATAGCTGAAGCTCTCCGCCTTCTGATGACCAAACACCCACTATTCTCTCTCCCTGATCCTCCAGGACCGAGGGATGGCACCAGGGATCGTAACCTTCATGCTCTGTTTCTCCCTGAAAGCTTGTACATGAAACCACAGCCCAAGTACTAGACTTTGGTTGAGTAAAAGCAAGTGAGAATAATTAGCATATGGTTTTGTTTTTCAGTATTGAAGATTGAACCCAAGGCCTTGACACTGAGCTTCATCCCCTGGCCTTTATTTATTTTTTTTTTTTTAAATTTTATTTTGACACAGGGTCTCAATAAAATGCTACGTTGCCAGGGTGGGCTCAAACTTACACTCTCCTTGCCTCAGCCTTCCAGAGTGCTGTGGTTACAGGATTCTGCCACCAGGCCAGGCAGCATATGATCTTTTTTAAATTCAAAAACATTTCATTGACCATTCAAGGTATATGACATGGTGATTATACATTATATCTATATATTAGGTAGTGTTTCTACAATCAAAATATTCATCACCAAACATAGTCACTATTTATGTATGAGGTGGGGGTGAAGGCACTTAAACTCTACTCCTCCTCTGAAATTCAAGGAAAGAGTACAGTATTGTTTTTATTGCTTGATTCCTCCCAGAATCTCACCAGGCTCCCTTATGCTGTAACTTCTTGAAGAAGGGAAGTAAAGCTGGTTACAAGGAGCTCATAGAAAGTCAAAAAGAGGAGAAAGAATTGGGCATCAACAATGAAATAAAAATAGCAGAATGATAGAGTTGACTCAAAACAATTCACCAGGGCCGGGGATTTAGCTCAGTGGTTCCGCTGCCTGCCTCAAAAGCGCAAGGTCCTGAGTTCGATCCCCAGTACCAAAAAAAAAAAAATTCACCAATTGCTCCATGATAATTAATTTAAAGTTATTTTTTCCTTCAAAGAATTACAGTCTTGCCTTTTTTATAGGAAAAAGCTCATATTTCTGACCATCACTTTATAGTAAATCATCAGAAATAGTAGCATAAGCCTTACTCATTTGTACTCTTCAGGGCTATGTTAACTATTGTTCCATTTCGAAATCCACTTTTCAATTTCAAAAGAAACTCTGGGAATTTTATGGCTTCTAGATTGGATTTACAGATCAGTTTTAGGGAGACTGACATCTTCATAATATTTGTCTTCTTTTCCATCAGATCAACAAACTCACTGTGGGATATTCAGATCATCTATTGCTTCATACCAATCAGTAGAACTACTCAAAACTGATAGCTATTTTTCAAGAAATAAAATAATAAATACCCATGGTGCCATTTTTGTGAAGTCAAAGTGCAGGTAAAGATCAGGAAAAACCCTGGTCAGTCCAAAACACTGATTTTTATTAGTAGGCAGATTGGTGTAAAGGGGAACTATGTGCAAGGACATACAGTTGTGCAGTTTGTATGGATACTAATGCAGGCAAGGCTTGTAAAGGAAAAGACAAAGCATTCTCAAATTAGGAACAAAGTAGAGAAAATATAGGATTGTAATTAGGACCTTGTCCTTCTAGTTAAGAAGGTTTCAGTGGTGCAAATGGAATTTGGGTGTGAGGTACTCTGAGCACAGCTAGTATATTATCTCATTCTGAGCCCCACAGCCTCACAGGCCATTTCTCTGGTGTCTGTTGTGGACATTAGTGAGAAGGTCATGCTAACCTTCATGTTACCGAGGTGCTTATGAGGACTTCTGTGAGTCATGTACGCTTCAGTGAGACTTGATTCTTAAAATGAGCCAATGGCTAGGTTAACACCTGTGCTGCTTATAGCCTGCTTTGGGCATAATCAATAAGGTGGTCCTTCACACCTTTATGTGTGTGTATAAAACACACACAAATGTGCCCCCTAGTGGTAAATACAAAGAATAGTAGCACCATAGAAATAACAATATCTAGTCAAGGTTTTGAAGCTGAGGCATAGATTCAAGAAAATTATACAGACTTGATAAAGCTTTTGTTAACTTGTTATGAGGGCTGACAGATAGAGGATAACCAATTAAATATGAATTCCAGAAAAAGGAATTTGTTTTAGTATGAGTGCCCCATATGATATTTGCTGTATCTAACTCCTTTGTGGAAAAAAAAATATGAAAGATTTGAAAATAAGCAGAAGAGATTACTGAGTGTGCTCTCTGAGCTGTTCTGGACTTGCCTGTCACTGGAGTTACAGATTATTGAGTTCAAGTTGTAGATTTTTTTTATCTGGTAGAGAGGCAAATGGTGTTTGTCTGGTGGACCAATTAACCCCATAGGTTATGAATATTGTTCCCTAAGACATTGATCACTTGTGTATCTCACCCTGCAACTCTATCTTAATATTTCCTTATTAATATGTGCCCACCTTCTCAAATGCTCTTTCAAGTGCTATTAACATCTTACCAATTCCCTCATTAATTAAGGAGTTGAGTAAACTGATGTGTTTTATGTGTTTTTGATGAGGGGAAAAATAGGCACATTAAGGTTCCTAAAATTAGAGATTAGAAGTCTCTTCAAAGTTTACATAGCAGGCTTATTGCTTGAACGTAAGCCTGTGTTAGGCAGCAAAAGAAGTTTTACCAAGTTCCTACTGCTTCTCCAATTTCTCACTCTGGCAATGGGTAAATCAGAAGCCTTACTAAATACTATCTGCAATTATTGTTACTTAAAAACTATTTTCCTAGGCAGATAATGTTTAACAAAAGAAATGTTCTGCTTTGTTGATGTTTCTTGGCCCGAAACATTATTTAAAAGCCTGTGTGTGACACTGAAGTTGAATCCTCCACTTGAAGGCCTGGGAACCACTCAGGAGATTAGTAAAGGATGCTTTGAGGGTGTCTGGGTGGGTCCTGGAGGGGTGGCCTTGGGTTCTGTGTCTGTTCCCTGCTCTGCTTCCGGTCACCATGAGCAAAGCAGTTTTGCTGCGCCACACCCTTTGGTCTCAGAGCTGGCCAACTATAGGTGAGTCCTCTAAAACAGAGACTCAAAGGAACCTCTTCTCCTCTAAGTTTCAGGTGTCAGGTATTTTGTCCCAGAAATGGGAGGTCTGACTAACATAAAATACTGAATATAGTTTTGCTTTTTTTTTCTCACTTTGTTTTCAGAACTGAAGTGAGAATAACGAAGTCCTATAGGAAATTCTCACACTTCAGTCTCTGAGATTTTTCATATTAGTCCGCCATGGACTGAACTGTGTCCTAACCCTGACGGGACTCCACTGGGAGACGCAGCCAGTAAGAAGGAAGTTGAGGTTCAATGAGGACCAGGGTAGGGCTCTTACCTGTAGGACTCGGGTCCATCACAGAGAAGACACAGAAGAAGACAGCCTGGCACAAGCACAAAGAGGGACCTCGTCACAAAGCAGCCTTGCTGGCTCCTTGATCTTGGGCTTCTGGAAATGTGAAATTCTCCAAAACTGCAAGAAAACAAATTTCTGCACTGGAAGCCACGCCGTCTTTGGTATGATGTCATGGCAGGCCAAGCTGGATAACAGACGATCATCAATTGTCGCAAAGAGAATGTAGAAGAACGTCATCTCAAATACACAACCCTGTCTTGGGCCCTGCCAAACTGTGAAAATCTGTGTGCCCTAGGAGGAGGACACGAATGAAGGAGGGACTGTGCATGAAAGAGAAAAACTCCTGCTTCTATACAAATGCCTACAGTGACTTTGGGGGAATGTTATTTCCACCTCATTAAACTGCAAAAGATAACAACAACAACAACAACAACAACAACAAAACCTGCAGACAGTGAGAGAAATTTAAAGATAAATAGATGAGTTGCCAGGCCTTTTCCACAATATCTTGGAAATAAGATCATTTAAAATAACCCTGTCAGGATTATACTACTATTTATACTCTTGAAATTTAAGAGGCTCTTTCATTTTCTTCCCCATGCAATTATTCTTTTTTTCTTCTTCCATTTTTTTCTTCTCAGACCCCCCACCCCCATGAAAGCAAATGGTGCATTCAGAGGTGGAGAACTGATAAGCAACTTATCAATGTGTGAGCAAGGTGTCAGGACTTCACTGTTACCCGGCCCTGGACTTGCAGGGGCGGTCAAAGCCTTTTTGTCAGGGTCACTAGAAGGCAGACCGCCAATCTAGGGTTTGAGGAGCCATAACCACCCTGGCAATGATGCTAATAAATACCTGATTCTCACACACTGTTGCCTTCCCATGTGGCCAGGCTCCATGAAGGTAAACCAAAGGATGAAGTGACCCTTGCATAAAATCCATTTCTGTTATCCTCTTGGAAAGTGGCAGAGTGCAGGGCAGACAATGATGAGAAGTTGCTTGACAGAGACAAAGATAAGGAACCAAAATTCATGCCTAGAAACACATCTTGAACTATGCTCATCCAAATGTTATTAGGTGTATACCAAGGCGTTGGTGACTTGTAAATTTTCATCAAAATTCATATGTTTTAGTAGAGTGGAAACATGCTACCATAAGCATCTTGCTTTTACAAAAAGAAAAACAAAGTATTATTCAATTTTGAAAATAAAGTTTAAACAACCATTAGATTTAGCATATTGTTGGTCATTATTACCATAATGTAAGTTATTTCAGAGAGTGATTTAATGAGTTAAAAAAACCATTTATAGAGCATATCTGTAAAATGTCATCTCTGAAGAATGAAATCAGAAGTGAACACAGCCTGTTTGTAACATGACACATGTGTGTCTCACTATTTGTCTTTAAAGGTTTCCTTCTGTGCGTGCAAACACAATGGCTACAACACTCTGGTTGTATACATTCAGCAAGGGGAAGACATTTTCATTGGTCTAATACAGCAAAATGAGTCATCCATCTCCATTTGCGTACAATTGCAGATTTCATTGTACATTTTTGCATATTTGTAATGACACTCGTATTAAGTCAGGCCACTATGGATGGCATTTCTGTGGATAACACATCAGCTGCCTCTGTTCCATTTTATTATGTGACAGTGTTTAATAATTGCATTATTCTGCCAACAGATGAAATGTAAGTACATGCATACGTGTTCAATTGCGGTTTGTCTGGGCACGCACCAGGCTGGTGATGTCAGTGGTAGAGCACTTGACTAGTATGTATGAGCCCCTGGGTTCCAAGCCTAGCACTGCAAAAACAAAAACAAAATGAACAAACAGTTGTGGTTTGTTTTTCAGCACCCCAAAAGCATGAATCTGGACTCATTTGCAGTTATTTTAGTTCAGTTACTGAGCCTCAGCATGGGAATTACTTATGATGACGTTAACCAATGCCACTGCCCAGGAGCTGTCTGCGTCATGAACCCAGAAGCGATGTAAGAGGCTTAGCTTTTATACCTAATATATTGCCTGCATTAAGGTAACTTGGCGTATTAAGTTTAAGGAAATTTAAGCTGTTTGGACAAGTATCAGCTATGATCGATGACCTCAGACCAAAGTATGTGTTCCAGTGCCATGTCCCATGCCTCGGTATGCTGCTGTTTCTCAGAATCCAATGTCACACTTCTTTCCATGTACCAACTACCTGCACTTGCCACAGCAAGTGAACTTAGGGTGATTCTCATGCCTCCGCCTCCCTAGTGCTGGGATTACCGATGTGTGTCACCATGCCTGGCTTTTTCTTTACTGAGTCGTAAAGCCCTGGTCAGAGCTGAGTTCTGTTAGCTGAGTACTAGTCCCAGGCACAAGTAAGGAACTTTCAAGTGTCTGGAGTAGAGTCACCACTGCATACGCTGTCTTTCCTGTTCCATTTTCTATGAAGGAACTGCCATCACAGAAAAAGAGTCAAGTCAGGGTCTGTAAGGGGAGTGTCTAATAAGTCTTTTCTGGATGGGTATGTGTGGAGAATTACCTGTTTGCAGTCATGTCTTTCAGCCTCAACTTCCTCCTGTTCTGTTAGAAAGGTGGCAGGGCTTAAGGAGGAACATATCTTTATTTGAATGGCTAGTCCTTCTAGAAGTAGAGCCTGGTATTTAAGAAGTTAGTTGTCTGATAGCCATAGGCTCCCTTTGGAGGAAAGAAGTCCTGCCACATTGTGAGGCATATATACAGTGAAATGTTTGCCTAAAGTCGGCTTGGGTGCCTCTGGCACTAAGAGAGCTACTGCACCTATAGCTCTAAGGCATGCAGGATATCTCTTTGCTACAATGTGTAATTTATGACTTAGATAACCTATAGGCTGTTGAGCGGGTCCCCAATCCTGTGTAAGCACTCCCAAAGCCATGCCCTGCCTTTCATCAACATACAAACTGAATCGGTGTCCTGTCAGCAAGCTTAGTCCTAGGGCATTTAGAAGTGCTTGTTTGAGCTTCTGGAATGCAACCTGGGAATCAGATTCCCAGGTTAAAATATGGGTATCTGTCTTTTGGGCTTCCTTTATGAGCTGGTAGAGGGGTCACACAATTTCACCATATCCCGCTATCCAAAGGGGACAAAAGCCTGTCATTCCTAGGAATCCCCTTAGCTGTTTTAGTCTTGGGCTGTGGGAAGGAAAGAATTGGTTTAATTCTTTCCTCTCCCAGTGTGTGAGTTCCCTTAAATATAATAAGGCCTAAATATTTTACCTCAAGTGTGCAAAGTTGTGCCTTAGATCTAGAAAGCTTATGACCTCCGTCCCCTAGAAAATTTAGCAGAGCATGGGTGTGTTGGCTTGAAAGTTCTTCTGAGGGGTCACATAACAGTATATCATCTACATATTGTAAGACTGTGACCTGGGAACATTCAAAACATGTCAAGTCGTTGCAAAGCACTTGCCCAAAGAGATGAGGACTGTCTGAATCCTTGAGGAATCCACATCAGCTGAGAGGCCTGGTCATGAGCATTTTCAACAGCAAAAAGAAACTGGGAATCTGTATGTAAAGGAATACAAAAGATGGCATCTTTTAAATCCAACACTGAGAACCAACTGGCATCTTGTGGGGTCTGAGAGAGGAGAGAGTATGAGTTAGGTGCCATCAGATGGATTTGCACTACTGCTTCATTTATTAACCTAAGGTCCTGCACCAACTTCCACTCTCCACTGGGTCTTTGAGCTCCCAAGACTGGAGTGTTGCATGAGCTATTACAGAAGTTAAGTAAACCGTGTGCTCTTAAGGTGTCATTTATAGGCAATAATCCTTTTTGTACTTCAGACCTTAGAGGATATTGTCTCTGGTGAGGAAACATAGTAGGATTTTTGAGATGTGTTTGTACTGGAGTAGCCTTTATTGCTCTCCCTGTCTTGCCTTCAGTTGCCCATACTTCAGGGTTTATTTCTGTCTCTACAAGAGGAAGACAGTGTTCTTGACCTGGGTGCATATATATTATAGAATTTAAATAAGGTAAAATATCTCTCCGAAGGAGGGGAACTGGACTTTCAGGCGAAATTAAAAAGGAATGGGTGGGCTGGGGATTTAGCTCAGTGGTTTCGCTCCCTGCTGTGCAAGCGCAAGGACCTGAGTTGGATCCCTGGAACCAATAAATAAATAAATAAATAAATAGATAGATAGATAGATAGATAGACAGATAGATAGATAGGAATGGGTGAAGAGAAACCTGTCCCAGTTACAGCCTAAGGGTTGTGAGAAATAGTGAATTAGCTCCTCTCCTGCCACTCCTCTCACTGATGTATGGTGGCTGGAAGGAAGGCCAAGGTTAAAGAGAAGGACCTAGAGACATATGCCAGTGTCCAGCAATAGGCCTTTTTTCTTTTCCCTCTGTAATCATGATTACCCAGGTCTCCTCTGTGGAGATGACAGTCCAGCCAGAGGGAGAAGATAGAGTGCCCCAGGCCCCTTCAGTCTTGCTGGACCAGCTGGTAGGATGGGTCTGAGCTCTGGGGCCTTTGCCTCAGAGAGCAATCTGATCTCCAGTGATCACCTTTCCAAGCAGGGCTTGATCTAAAGGGGTTTCTCATTGCAGTCCTTCCTAAAGTGGCCTGGCTTTCAGCAGTGGTAGCAGATGGTCTTGGCTGTCGAGCTCTTCTCAGAGCCCCGAGAATCAGACTTAGAGTCTATTTCTCTAAGAGCTGTTCCTAAGGCTGTTCCCTTCTCTAAATTGTTCTGTTTCCTCTCCTTGGCCTCCTCCTGCTCTCTGTTATAAAATGCTGTGTAGACAATCCTCACTGGAATCTCAAGTGAGCTATCTGGGCCAGAAACCATCTTTTGTAACTTTTTTCTAATACCTGGGGCTGACTGAATAATAAACTTATCCTTAAGAACAATCTATCCTACCAAGTCAGGAGCTAGGGCTGTATGTTTTACTAATGCCTCTTGTAAGCCATCTAAGAAGGCAAAGGGGTCTTCTTTCTCCTCCTGTTGAATAGTTGGTAAGATAACTGAAGGGTTTAGTTTTAGTCCTTCTTAGACCCTCAAGAATACAAAACTGTAGATGTTTCTATACCAATCTCCTACATGGTAGCCAGTAGGGGTCCTGTGTAGGGCTGCTTGGGTTCTGATAGGAATCGGCAGTTCCCTTGGCTCTCTTTGTCCCGTCCCTCTACATTTAATATGATGGTATTCATCACCAACTCTAATGGCAGCTTGTATTGCTGCTTGTACCTCTGATTTAAAAGTAACATTACATCCTTCCAGTCTAACTCAAAGGTCTGGGTAAGTCCCCTACAGACATCAATGTACTTAACAGGGTCATCTGAAAACTTTCCTAGGTTTTGTTTGATCTGTTTGAGGTCACTGAGAGAAAAGAACACGTGGACAGAATCATGTCTGTGGGCACTATTTACTTCTTGTAAGGGATATTTTCCTAGAGGAGCTTGAAAAAAATTAGCTAAGGATGGATATAGCCCTACAGAGGGTTTAATTGTAGCTGGTCTAAAAACTTCACCCCTAAACCCTAGAGGATAGCGAGGAATTGCAGGCTCCAAAGAACAAATAGGGAGGACTTTTGCCTTAGCAATAGTGGGTGGGGTTTCAATAAGGGTTGCCTTAGAAACCTCATCCTCAGATTCAGTAGGTGGGGTTTTGACTAAGGCAGCCTTGGAAATTTCACCCTGAGGTTCCAAAAGACAAGGGCAGGAAACCTCAGTGATAGGGGCCAGAGGAGCTTGACTTTCCTCAGCCTCACATTTACATTTTGAAGACAGATAGGGATTCTTTCTTTTTTTCTCTCTCTTTTTATACAGTATGATTCTAGTTGTGAAATAGCATTATAATCTATACTTCCTTCTGTATTCCATCTTGGCCCTATGGGATAAGTAGGCCATGCACAGGTGCAGAGAAATATTAAACCACTCTTTTTCAGTATGTGAGTGTTGAACATTTTCAAATTTTTAAGAATACATTCCAAAGGAGTAAATGGTTCAGATATGGAGTTCCTCATCTGAAACAAGAGAGGAACAAAAATGGCATCCCATAAGTCCTTGCTTGATTCCTATGCCCCTAGGGCATCTCCAGGGTGTACCCCAAGGTTTACTTCACTCCAGGGCAGGTAGCTATCATCTGGAGAGAGACCCAGAAAATAAATCCGGACTGGACTATCTACCCTTTACTAGCACTGTGATTTTATCTTCCTCAGGGAACTTGTATCCTTGCTCCAGTAGGTAACTCCCAAAACACAAGCCACAATTGAGTTTAGCCACAACAATCATGTTTAGAAAAGGAAGTATTGCTAGCAAACCAAGAGATTTAAACTACTGCTTTCAGGTTCCTTGAAAGACAAGAAAATAGGTCAATACTCAAATTAGGGCACTTTTTCCTGCCAAAGAGATCATCTCTAGAGATAGTAGGTCAGAGATTCTTTCCCGGGCTCTAGGGTGGAGAAATCACTGGCATTTACCTAGAAAATCTTTGTTAGCAACAAGACAAGTCTACCTTTTTTAAGGTCCTGTTGGGGCTGGTGGGCTGAACGGGGGGGTCCGATCAGAACAAAGTCTGTCATGTCCCAGCACTAAATGGCAGACTTTGTGTCCTCAGATGCCCAGGCTTTGACACATCAGTCAGTGGCCCCTGCTGGTTCATCTTAAATTTATTAAACATTCGAAACTCACAGAATACACTCATGTTTATTTCCTAGCAGTCATAATCCACACATTAGTAAAGGCACCCTTATCAACTTCCTACGCACACATGAAGGAAGAAAAAGGCTAATCAAAATCCTTTGTTATTCCAGTTAGCATGTAAAAACACGTATGGAAGTTGCTAACTGATTGCTATTTTCCTTAGTGTAAGACAAAACAGTTGCTGTAAGCTGTCTCAGTATGAACCCTCAAAAAGAGAGGAGGTGTCACCATAAGGTTGTTACTTTTAAGGTTAACTCCCAACAAGTTGGAGAAAAGTTTAAGGGGAGTTTTAACTCACTAGCAGAGACAAAAAATTTAATTAAAGTTCAAGCCATTTAAATATCCAAAAAGTCATCATATAACACTATACAAGTACGCAGTCAAGGTTCCAAAGTCCACAGGCTATCTGCAAAGGTATTTTTCTTCCCTGCACACATAAATGATGAAGACCATGCCTAGGGAGGAGAGAAGGTTTGGGTACATTTTAATCTATCAAAGATTTGCTTTTTACATCTGACATGGGGTCCTATCTTTCTAGTAGTAGAGAAAGCAGGCCAAACCTGTAGCTCAACTCTTATGAAAGGGTTCTGATGGCATTGTTTCCAATCATCTGAGACAGAGGATATCTGATGATCACTGACAGAGTTCTCCTTTCAGCTCACTGAGAAGCCCAGATAGGGACGAGATATGAAGATTTTCTGCTGATTACCCAGACCTTTGGGTATCCACCAGAGAGTAGCCCTGGCCATGACCCCTCAGTTGTTACCTCAGTTTCTGCTAGTTCCACACAATCAGTCTCCAAAAGGAACCCAGTTGCCTATCTGGTCAACATTCCACCCTCCATTGGCTTCAATGGGAGTGAGGATTCACCAGAAACAAACTGGAGAAAACTGTCCTCTCTTTGAGAGTGGCAGCTGCCCTAAAGGCACTTACTAGCTGGCAGAGTAACCAGTTTGACATTTCTATAAGGGACAGATAAAAGTCTGAACTGTATTTGAGACGATTTCATAAGAGACCCATTTTACAACATTTTTAAGCAACTAACTCCAAATGCAACATATACAAAAAAAGGATAAAACATAATTTTAACAAAGGACAATGTATAAGAGAAACAAGAAATATGCAAACATTTTAAAATACACAACTTAAAATTAAGACACTTTTGAAACAAAAGCTGAAACAAGGGCCAGAATTTATGAAAAGAAAACCAGAATCTATGAAACAAATGCTCAGAGCCTATGAAACAAAAGTTACAATCTATGAAGCAAAAAGACCAAAGTTAGAACCTATGAAAGAAAACTCTTACCTCCATCCAGTAATCTCAGTGGGACCTCCAAAATGATATAGGGAAAGAGATGTAACTCCCAAATCTGCTAGGTATCCCAAATGCGAGTTCCTGTTGTCTAAGATTGAAGAATGAATTCTAAGAACAACAGAGGTTAAAAGTAGGAAAAATTTATTGAGAAAAAGAAAGCTTCTGTCTAAGAGAGAGAGAGAGAGAAGGAGGACCAGAAAGTGGGTTGTCTGGGACCTGTTTCCTAGGGGGTTTTATGAAGCAAAGCCACAAGGTGAGGCAGGTTCAAGGTGGGACAAAGCTATAAGACCCAATGGAAAATTATAAGGTGGGCATGAGGTGGGAAAAAACCATGACCAACCAATAAGATTACAAGTGCAGTCACCCAGGTAATATTGATTAAATGGGGATCAAATGCGAAAACAAGTCACATGCAAGGAATTTTCCATTTAGAATATCAATCATTTCTGTCTATCTCTATGGGAAGTAGTACCTCTTTTCCTTTTTTTATAATGCTAACCAGTGAATGTGCCTTAATTGTTTTCCATGTTGACTCCTCGGTGTATTCTCTGCTTGTGGGTGGGCACCTGGAGAGTGGCCTTGTCTAAGTGCCTACAAAATAATCTAATTAACTTACCTATCTACAATACAAGGACGTCATGTGTTTAACTAAAGAGGCTGTAAGCCAAGCCTGGTAATCAGAAAGTATTTAAACAAAGTTAATATTAAGGATAATTAAAAAATCATAATTTTAAAAACCAAAGAAATTATTTACAATAGATGGTTTCAATCATACACTCATTCATTGTTTTAAAAAAAATAGTTAATGAGCTCTCACTGTGCTAGTAAACTAAACAACTGGAAAGGCTCTTTCCCTGGAGCCAAAACAAAACAAAACAAAAACCTAGGAGGAAAAAGCAATTGAAAACTAAGTAAATTAGTAACATTCCAATTGCTGATAAGTATTCTAAAGAAAAAAGAAATATCCCTAAAGAGGAGTAAGAAGGTGGTATTTTAAATGTGTGCTTGAAAATATCATCTTATTTGTGTAAACTTTGAATAGAGATCTGAAAAAGAAGCAGGAGCTATGAATATGTTTTTAGAAAAGATTTCCAGGCAGAGAATGTAGTTAAATATTTGGCAGAGGGGACAGCAAAGAGGCCACCTAACTGGGCAGGGTGAGTTGAAGTAGAAGAGGAAAATGATCTCAGAGAAGGCGCTAGTGAACAGATCACACAGATTTTACTCTGAATGATTGGGAAACCATAGCTGGGTATAAATAGAAAAGTAACCTGTGATTATCAGTGTTTGGAGGAACATTCTTGATTGCATTTTGAGAAGAGAAATGGGAAGGATAAGAATTGAAATACATGGGCATTTAGGAGCTACTGCATTAACCTGTATTGTGAGATCAGGGAGGTCGGGAAGAGTGGGTGGTACAGAGAAGGTGTCTAGGATAAGCTCAGGAGATGGAGCAATAGTACTTCATGACAGATAGGGCTTTGGTGAGAAATAGAAGAGAACCTCAAGATTTTGTCCTGGTCAACTAGCCAGTTGGAATTTCCCTTTATTCACTTTGGAAATACTAACAGTATGTAATGCAGGTGGGCAGAGTTTCTAGTGTTTTACATGTCATACAGTCTCACAGTCCTGTGACACCAATGGTCCCTTTATCATCATACTGCAAAGAGGAGACTGAAATATAATATTATATATTTATATAATTTAAATTATATATATTTAATTTAAATACCTTCGCCAAGGACATACAACCTAGAAGCGGCAGAGCTAGATTTTAACTTGTGTTGTTTGACTGACTGCAGATTACATATTCTAAAACACAGTTATCCTTTGGGACGGTCAGGTTCTGGGCAATAGACATCAAGAGTTTAGACATTTTAAATTTATGTTGCCTTTGAGATGGAGTAAAGAAGAAACATGGACTAAAAAGTCAAGTATTGAATTCTGGAGTTTTGGTGTTTTGAGTTAGAGGAACAAATATAGTTGAGCTGGCAAGTATGTTCTTTTACAACTATGAAATTGGATAAAATTACATATGACCAAGTATACTAGAATACAGAGATATTTTAACATTTGAAAGTCATAAGAGGGAAAAGAAACAAAGAAAAATGGAACAATTGGTAAGGTTGAAGCAGTGTTGTAAGTGTAACGTAAGAGCCAATAAAATTTTATCGATCTGTTCCTAAAAGAATTTAAAAAATTAACATTGAGTTCTTGCACAACTGGCCTCCCTTGCACAGACAGTGAGAGATTTTGACATTATCAAAACTGAGAAATAGATCTGTTGTAGAATGCTAATTAAATACCTTCATTCTAAAGGAAGGGATTTTGTGGAAACTCTTACGCAAAAACTTGAAGTTTGATGTATTTTTAGTCATTCCGGTGGCGTGAAGATCTTTAGTGACTGCAGCATGAACGATTTTGCACGTTTCACGTCCAAGCCAATGTCTCAGTGTCTTCAGAATCAGCCACGCTTGCAGACGGCTTACCAGGGGACTACTTGCGGCAACAAGATAGTGGAGGCGGGGGAGACCTGTGACTGCGGAACAGAGGAGGTCAGTGCCACCTTGGAAAGACTGTAGCAGATCTGCATCACAATTCTTAAGTACTCTTTCTAGTGGTGCACTGTCATTCCTTCATTTATTACACTTATCTTTCTACAATGGCCTTCAGAAAGGTGCAGAGGGAAGTGAACAATATTCACAAGTTAACTTACGTGTTGCTATGTGGATTCATTGATATGCAGGTTTTTTTATTGTCGTTCTATTGAGGCATAACAATAAAGGTATCATTGCTTTAGCAGGGTAACAAAAATGGTACATATTTATGGTGTAGGACTTGATTATTTATGTATACATTGTAAAATATTTACCGCAAGCTAATTAACATAACAGTAATTTCACAGTTAATGCACTTTTTAAAAATAAATTTATTTTAAAACTTTTATTAATATATACTTGCAGTATGGTTATATTCATTGTGGAGAGTTGGTACATCTACATAATATATCTTAATTCTTTTTACATCCCCTTCTCCCTCTCTCCTTAACCCCTTGTCCATTCCTCCCTCTTCCTTTCTCTCTCTCTCTCTCTCCTCTCTCTTCTCTCTCTTTCTTTTGTTCTTCTGGTGGGAACAATTAGGATGTATCCGTTTAGCAAATTTCAACTATACAATAGAATATCATTAACCAAGAGTCACATTGTTATACATTATACTGTATTTCCAGAGCTCTGTCATCCTACATAACTGAAATTTTGTACTTTGGGGCCATAATATCTCTATTGCTCCCTCCCCACAGCTCTTGTTAACCACCATTCTAATCTCCCACATGAGTAGTTTCAGAGTCACTGAACTTATTCCTGAGTTGATCCATACTCATTCTCCTCCTCCTGAGTGTATCCTTGACAGCATTTCTTTCCAACCTAAAATCTTTTGCAGTTTGGAAAGAGAGATATAAGCCTTTCCTTGTAGAATCAGTAAACATGGTGGGGGAGTGTGCACATTTGCAGTTTTAAATATTTTAATCCAGATCAATATTTTAGTGAGACACTTTTGAAATGCACATAAGCAAAAAATAGTTTTTCCAAACCACAGAAACTTTAGCTAAGTCTGCCAAGTTGGTGGGCAGTGCGAAGAATAGAGATCATACAAAGTGATGGAAAAAAGTAGAGACAAAAATGTATGAGCTTTGTGATTCTCACAGTGAGTGGTGTAGACTTGGGGAATCAGGATGAGTGAATGGAGTCCAGCCTTCCCGGGGCAATGGCTGGGGTCCTCCACGTGTGCTCTCCCCAGCATGAAAAGTATGTTTCTAGGTTCCCACGTGGGTAATGTGTTTTAAAGAAACTGCTCCCCACCTCCCACTCACTTACTGTGATTTGGTTTAAATGGAAACAGCTTAAAATTTTTCACTAAAAATTTAAGTAGTGTATCTTAGCTTCATTAGATGCCATATAACTGAATCCTAAGCACACCAATCTCTTTGTTCCTCTTGAATTCCATGTACATAACAATAGCAATGACATTTATTGGACTGGATAGCTGTGAAAAGTATGTGTCCTAGTGAATGATTTGTTATAAATTATATTAAGATTACCGAAATCTATGATGCATTTTTATACAGTGTATTGAAACTTTCACCCAATTAACCCCACTTCAAATCCCTGAGTATTTAAAATGTGTGTGTGTGTGTGTGTGTGTGTGTGAATGTATTGTCTCTCCAACCTTCTCTTATGTGTTTCTTTTATTATCCTTAATAACAAAAATTTTAAAAGCAGATTTTTAGGGTATAGATGAATTTTAGGATAAAAGGGGGCACAATGAGACATGGATAAATGATATACGCATGACACTTTTACTCATCTTGAGATATAATTTCATTTTCAACCTTCATTACAGAATTAAAAACTAAATAAACTTATAATATCCCATAGAATATTGAAATATCAACAGTTCAGGAGATTCAAAAGGATCAAATAAGAACTACAGGAAACAGGAATGGGGAGATTACCATAGACCATTGCAGTGTGTCTGCAGTCTCTTCTGAGTCACTACATCACAAGATGATAAGAGTGAAAAACCAAGGCTTAGAGAGAGCTGGGTCTTGGTGCTGATCATTGCTGCTTTGGGCAGCAAAGACAAAGAGTGCCAAAGGCATTTAGTATTTATCGATTACAAGCAGGGGAAGAAGGTGAGAAGGGTGTGCCTGAATACACCTAAGGACATAGGGTGAGGAGTCCAGAAGCATCTGGCTGGAAGCATCTGGGAATGGCTGATTTGCAGGCAGGGCTAGCTGTATACAAACAAGGCTGTAAATGGGGAAGACATTGCTTAGCTTGCCTGGAGAGATCAAAGTGAGCTAGGACTGGGTCCAAATTAGCCACAGTTTGGTAATCCTGGGCAGAAATGTCTGCTACAAAGAGCTAGTCACTAAGAAAAAATTTTGAAATCATAGCTTTTTATTTCACATCTTGTATTTAACCAAATCTTTATCTGCAAGAACTACAGATCATCTCAGTCCCTTGGCTATGATCCCAGAGAATCCTATTATCAGCATAGCAAACCTAATATAAAAATATTTTTTTAAAACACCAAGATCTAACACTTCGTAGGTAATTAATAAATATCTATTAAGTAAATAAATAGGTGACCTTCCCGTTTGCCAACCTTTGAAGTTAAGCATCCATCTGTGTACCATGCAGTGGGTTGTCATCATTAAAATATGCATGCAATGTAAACAAAATTTGAAAGATACATCAGAGCTTTTGATTTGCCTTCCAGGAATGCAATAGAAGCCCACCTGTCTGCTGCGACCCTATCACATGTAGACTGAAAGATACTTCAAAATGTTTTACAGGGGACTGTTGCGAGAATTGTGAGGTAAGACATTTTTTAAAAGTTTCTCTATGGCCTGCGTAATGAAAATTATCATTCTTTATCATTCTCAGAAATCCCCATTATATTTTATTCAATATAGTTTACTTTACTCCATCAGTTTAAAAGTAGTGAAGAAATATGCCGTAATCGTGTTGATGAGTGTGATCTCCCTGAGTTCTGCAATGGCTCATCTGCGGACTGTCAAGAAGACCTCTTCATTCTTAACGGGCATCCATGTGGGGAGAATAAATGGATCTGCATGAACGGGAAGTGTGTGAGTGGGAAGACGCAATGTGAAGCAGCATTTGGTGAAGGTATTTATGATCATTTGATTTTCTATGTAAGTATTTTGCTGGATACTGAAAAGAAATAGATGTCAAACTTCACTCATAATCAAAGGTCAACAAAAATTAAAATCAAACACATTAGTTACAACCTAGTAAATATCACACAACAGTTCATTTGTTAGTTAAATTAGATACCTAATGTGTTATTAGGACATGGATTAATAGTGACACTAGTTAATATTGAGTAATACTGCAAGGATCAAGCTATAAATGTATATTCCACGCCAATACCAAGTACATAAAGTTTTAAAATAACATTCACAAGTAATAAAATGCTACAAAAGTTTTAAGAATTTGAGTTCCAGTCTTTGATGGAGGCAATAGATATGGGATATGAAGGAAAGGGAAGATGTTTTAAAAGGGTTTTCAGAAGATAAATGCTAGTACTGTTCCATGAGTTGAATGTTGGGATTATCTCTGCTCTCTGTAGCAGTGGGTCTGTAAAGTTGTTTTTAAAATAGACGTCATCAAAACAAGAGGGAAGACCTCAGACTTTCAATGGTTGATTAAATTCATTCAGAAAAAACTTTCCACTATCAAAACTGGGCAAAATAGTTTAAAAATGTATTTGAAAGTGTTGCAGAATCACCAAGCATGTGATGGAGCTGCTCAGAGAGGTGAGAACAATAATTCATTCTTGTTCCTTGAGGCAGCTGCTCCTTTGAAAGGAATAGAGAAGTAATGGCTGAGAGAACAAGTAGGTTGGGAAAACCAGCCACCATCCAAAGCTAACAAGCTGAGCAGAATTTTCCAGAATCCCAGGGTGGAAAGATAAAAGGTAGAAGTCAACCTTTATCAAGGAAAATGCATTTGATAAACAGCCCACATTTCCAATAGAGACCCACTCAGAACTTGGCCTTGTAGTTAGACCATATTTTCAGCTAACAGTCATTATATACATGTGTCAAAGCTTCATTTATTAGGGGGGCACACACAATTTTATCTGTCAGTGTGGAAAATTAAATAAATGAATGATTAACTAAAAATTTTAAGGGAAATTATGAATACGAATGATGAGTTCTTAAGCAGATTAATCAAACAGGAATAGCATATCTGAAGAGTAAGGTATAGGTCTGCAGAATATATATCTGTTCTGAGATACAGAATGCAAAGGAGGATAAATATAGCTAGCTGTCTTTGCTTTATTTGCTTTATTTGCTCTCAAATGATATTTTAGACAAACAAATTTCTACACAAAAATTGTTCCAATGTCTCCCATCTTTAATTATGATCTTTGAAAACCTCTGCTTTTAATCTGAATGCTCTTCTTGTGTAAATAGATACTTCCATCCATCTCTTCTTCTTTCAGTATATGAAATGAGAGACCAATTACTTTAATTAATACCCTGTTTGCCCAAAAATAAGACCTCCCCAGGAAATATTTGCGGGGCAGCACAGTACGGTGTTTGCTGATAACTGATGCTCTGAGGTTTCATCAAGTTTCCATAAGCTCAGACTACATATAGTGCATCCTCATCTGTAGAGTGTGAGTCTTCAGGATTTTCTTTGCAGACTTTGGTATATCACTGAGACCCATATGCTGACAGATATGTAACTGCGATGCACAGGTTACAGAAAGATTTGCTCTGCTTTCCAGAAGTTCTCTCTTTATGTTTTAATCTCCTATCTTGCTCATGTTTAGAATCAGGAGATATCCTGGAGAAAGGAACATACTATATGTTAAAGGCCACTGAGTCTAATTTTGTCACTACTTCTATGAAAGGCTCTCAGACTATGGCCTGCTTTAAACCCATAACCAGCTTTGCAAGTGACCACGGGAACAAAATAAACCGTTACCTTTCTGTTCCTTGGTGACGCTAGGAGTTTTCCCTGACACTCCAGTGTGTCCAGTGTGGAGTCCGCTCATGGTATGTCATTTTGCCCAGGGTCACAATATAGTAGTCAAACATCCCTGTCAAAGGCTTTTTTTGGCTTAGGCCTTCAACTAGAGGAGAGCTGATGGAGGTTAAAAAAATTAAACTGGTCTTCCAGTAGGTTGAGTCTTATAAGAACTAAAATTAAACAGATTATCCATGTAGATTGGAGGTAAATGTGAAAATGAACCAATTGTGAAGTCAAGATTTCTTTGTTCATCCAAGGAAATGATGATAAAGCAAGATAATTGGGTATTGGCTTGACTTGAGAAACCATTTACGCAGAAAGTTTATTGACAGTGAGTTGATGATATGTTTAAAAATTTTTATGTACTTATAGACCTGTATTTATAGGCTTATTAAAATTAGAAGGCAAACCGTATGTAGTGATTAATGTAAAATATGTCTAGTATACGTGTGTGGACAACAGGTAGGAGTCATTTCAGTTTTTAAATATTTTCACTGAAGTGGTTTTATATGATCTTAAAGCTAGGTTTTATTTTCAATTTGATATTATGATGTTATTTTGTGTAATATATTTTAAATCACCACAGAATTTTAAATATATTCATTACTTTTTAAAATTGAAATACACTATGTATCATGTGACTAACAACACTTTTTTTCAGGTGTAGACTTTGGTACAAGGGAATGTTATGAACAACTTAATTCTAGGAATGATATTGCTGGAAACTGTGGTATAAGGAAAGACGGGAGTTACACACCATGTGCACCTAAGTATGCTTTATGAAATTTAACTGAGAACCTCTGCTGCCTTGTATTTGAAAATATCACTAGTTAATTAAGCTTGTATGTAATCAAGATATCACCTGAGACTGACATAAGATTGTGTTCCATACAATGATAAATGTGATTGTATGTGCAGAGATGTGCTATATGTATCTGCCTCATATACACAAATTAGCCTTTATACTTTAGTACCAAGCACTTTATTCACATAAATGTTAGTTACCCATCAGTAATCATTTTTTATTTTGCATGCTTATCTCCTTCATTTTATAAAGAATGACAATCCTTACAGGGTTGACATGAAAACACATAAATTTTCACTATCTGGAAAGTAGAGTGTATTGAGTAGTGTATGTCCTAGTGCCAGAGGTGGTTTCAAATCCTAATACCATTGTTAACCTGTTGTGATAGGAGCTTCACATGGATAAGTGCTTATTAGTTTCATAATGTGCAGAAAGTCAGTCAGCTCACCACACCATGGAAACCATTTATAGAGAGGCAAGGAGGTGGTAGAAAACAAACTTTATTCCCATGAGCTAGCAGATTGTAAAGGTGGCAGGCGATTGTCCCAAAGGATCGTCTGGGCAGGAAGGTGATTTAGAAGCTGTTTATATAGGAGATGTGTAGTTGCAGACAGGTGGAGGTTTGTAGGCAGATGTACATTTGATTTCAATCATATCCTTGCAAGATATCTTCCATTTCTGTAAATATGAAGGAAAACAGTGACGACTTTTGTCAGAGATCATTATTTTCTTGGGTTAGTAGTTTGCTTGCATGGAGTTCCTCACAGTTTACCCAACGGGATCAGGAGACATAAACTCACAGTACTGAAAGAAAACTTGTTTCACTTGATTATTGTGAAAGCTTAATACTCAGCTTGCAATTAGTTTGTCCATGGTGCTATTATTGTTGCTGATTTTGTTGTCATTGCCAGGGTGGGACTGTTGTTGCTATTCATTGGTTTTCTCTGTATGCTAATATCTGGATTGTCTTTGTATCATTAGTAATACTGTGATCCATTACTGGAGAACTGGGTGCTGGGCTGATTACATGGCAGCCTTTCCCCTCAAATGAACAGAGGTGGTTGGATCTAGGGATAGAGGCAAAGGCATATAGTTAGCCACACCCAGAGCGTATCAGTGGAAAGCAGACACTGACTGAAGAGATCTCCATAATGGCAACAAAGCCTTTCCACTATAACCAACCCATAAGCCTAAGCATGCACACATGTGCACACACACACATACACACACACACACACACACACACACAGACACATACACACAAAACATGAAAGACAAGACAACACACCAAAATGCCTTCAAAAATTCCAAACTCTCTCAAAGCTGATCCTTCTGGGATTGAGGAGGGGGAAATTAAAAGGCAAAGAGCTCAGTTCACTAACACTTCTGTTTGCAAACAATTCTGTTTATGAAAAAAAATGTACCAGAAAATTCTACTTCTGTTTGCCAACTCCACATCAAGTGACAAACACAAACGTGGCCATCTTCCCCAAGTGAACCTGAATGCAACCTTCTACCCTAGAATTGTGGAACAAATTAAATTCATGAACCTAGGCACCACTGTATTAAAAATAATTATAGGAGATAAACAGATTAATAAGGTGCTGGGTAAGCTCAAAGTAGATATAACTAAACAGGTAATGGGCTTCATAAAGAAAATGATCATTAACTTTACAGAAGACACTAATAAAAAGGAAGCTGAGCTAAACAAAACAATACAAAAAAGGAATGATAACTTTACCAAAGAATTAGCATCCATGAAATCCAGGAGATTAAAAATGCTATTGAAAGTATGGGGAGCAAAAGTGACCAATGTGAGGACGGCATGTGAGAACCAGAAGATAGCACTGGTGCCTTAAAACCTTGTAGAGATGCCTTAAAAACAACATGAAAAATAAACCCAACAGCTGCTAAATGACACAAAGAAGACTCATCTAAGATTAATTGGAATTAGTGAAAAATCAGAAGCCAGCACAAATGGCATAATAAAATCTGGTTACAAAAATAAGAGCAGAAAACTTTCCAAATATGGACAAAAATGTTAACATACAGATCAGTAAAACATACAGAACCCCAAATAGTCACAATCAGAAAATAAGTGCACTGTGACACATCATAGTCAAATCTCAGAAATCCAACACAAGAACAGAATCTTAAAAGCCATTAGAGAATAGCAATGAATCATTTGTGAAGGTAAGCCCATTAAACATATAGCAGACTTCTCAAAATAAAACTTAAGGCCAAGAGAGCTTGGAGTGAAGGAATTCAAGGCCTAAAACAAAACAACTTCCAACCCACATTGGTATATATATAGCAAAACTATATTTCAAAATTTATGGAGAAATAAGGTGTTTCCATTGCAAAGAGCACATTAAGAAATTCATAACCAGCAAACCAACACTCCAAAACTTCTCAAGGACATACTACAGAGACAAAGAAGCCAACAGTACACAAAAGTGTAATAGAATGAATACACCAGGCAGGGTGATCAGTTAACAAAAGTGAGGAAAAAGATTCAGCAGCAGAAAAATAAATGAGCACAGGAATCAGTCAATTCGTTTCAATGAATGCTCTCAATTCATAAACTGAAAGACACAGATCAGCATAATATATCAAAAAAACCCAATGATATATTTCAATTGAATACTCAGGAATTCATCTAATCAAGAATGTGAAAGACCTCTACAAAGAAATCCACAGTACTCTGAAAAAGGAGATAGAAGAGGACATAAGGGAGTGCAGAAGAGCAGAGTTGCCCCAATGCAGAACAGGTGAACCTTCCAAGCCATGGTACCACCACCACCCCCACCAAGGCTGAGGAGGTGAGCCATGTGAGTGCTAGCAGCACACATCCCTTCCTCCCTCTGCTGTTGAAATAAGAAGATAGCTAAAGAAGTCTCAAAACTAGACATCCAGATCTTCTAATGCAACCCCAAAGGGAAATGAGATGGGACAATCTGACATTCAACCACCTGGACTCCCTGAACCGGCAATGAAAGAGGATCTGGAAAAAAATGAAATCAGAAATAATTTCTCAGGTATCAGCAGAGATTGTGCCCACAGTGCAAGACATGATTAATAAATCTAGAGAGGACACACACAGGTAAAAAATACAGGAGCTGAGGAACGTGATAGAATCCTAACATAGGAAACAAATGCAATCCATAAAACAGATGCAAACAGATTTCCAGGAGATTAAAAACTCCATC